AGGGAGACTCTCCTGTTGAATCATAAGGTTTGGAGTAGACCTTGCCAAACTTAGCCCAGGACTTGACCAACAGTTTAGGCTTAGAGGTTTTAACAGCACCTAAACTTAACAGCACTTAACTGATAGACTAATTTAAACAATTTAACAAAAGATTCTTATAGAATTTAATAGCACAACAATAACTCACTTATAGGCATAAGTTACTTATGAATCTAATGTATTTAAGAATGCAAGAGAGAAACATTCACAGTCTGTTTGCTATCATGTATTCACATTCACACTGACCTAAAAGAGTATGTGTAAAGTACATTTCTATGATCTGATTTCTTTTGCATATATTTTTTATTTGTAACTTTTCAATAGAAATATGTACAGCTCAGCTTGTATAATTGTTGGGATATAGTTATGCCTGTGAGCCAAGGATTCAGCTGATGGATTTGCCACAATAATTCCTTATTTGCAATGTATCATAGCTTTATTTACCCTCAATGAATGTAAAGAAAGATAAAATTCTTGCAATCTGTGCAGAGGAGTTAGTGTTGCTTTGGCAGTATCTCATACTAGCTGAAGAAATTTGAGCACATGTAAGCCCTATGGCCTATATTTCAAAATTCAGGAAGATCCAGAAGGGTCAATAATTCATTGCTATATATTCTGAACTTGGATCATGACACCATCATGTAAGATGCATCACAGAAGATTTCTGCAGTTCTACAGAAGATTTCTCCATAAAAGAAGAAATGTTTAATGAGGGATTTGGAGGCAAGGTAAGTCAAACAATTTTATTATCTATCGTGTGGTGTATCTGCATCCTGGTGACAGTCAGATAAATGTATTTGCACACCGTATAGATAATAAACATTTCATGGCATTCGATGAGAGGGATTGTACTATTTTAGATTCCTTCCTGATGATGTTCTCATGTTGACTTCACTGAAAATATTGGTCAGGAGATAATTAAGAAATTAAATGTATTCCTAAAGAAAAACAACAACACTGCTATGCCAGATATGCTATATATAAAGCAATTATAACTATTCATATAATATTCAGGATGTAATGTTTAAGTTCTGATTTACCAGCCTTGAAATCCATCCTATCCTGTGAATCTCAATTTAATTTCATTTTTTATCTTCATTTGCAAACATTTTGTTTTCCCTTGGCACATGAGTCAATTTAATAACCTGATCAAAGATCAGAATTTCCTGTATATATGGACTATAATAAATGTATGCCATTTTCCTGAAGTTTGTATCAAACCAGAGTAACACTTCAAGGGAGGTACGGCTATATTTCATATCTGAACACTGTATAAAATATTAAGACACCCATTCTCATTATACAGTGACATAAAACAAAAACTAGGCAATAACATTTCCTTGCATCCTCAAAAATGCAAGCTGGCAATCTCTCCTGGGATATGACTAACAGCTTTTCAGCTGGGGGTACTTACTTAATAATGAAATTATTTCTTTAGCTATTAACCTCTGATGACATCAGTTATTCCCACATTTAGGACACAACAGGGTCTGGTATTGGACATGGAGGAGGAGCATGCACTGACACACACTGCAAACAGCTATACTGAAACGTAAACTTTAAGGCATTTAGAGATTTTTGAAGAGCTAAGATTTTAGTTAGAAATAAGCCTTACTAGAGTTAATTAAAATAATAATAATAAATGAGTAGGCCTTGATAAAGTTAGGAGTTAGTAGTTAACTAATAACTTGTCAGCACAATGTTTAGTTATCTGGGTTTATAATGAAGAATATAGAAACTGACAAATAGCTTTTAGGAACATAAGACAATTGTGGGCCTCCTCTGTTCTGAGACCAATTGAAGACAAGGAATGGGAGTTCTACCAAGAGTTCATTTGTCATATTTGCATTGAAAGGGTAAAAAGGTCAGAATGAGGAAGACTTCATTTACTTCCTCATTTTGTGACCCCTCCCCATGAAAGGGACCTCCAACCCATTTCAAGGGACAAACTACGCATGCTTAATAGCTTTTGGCGTGATTAGCATACTAAGCGGGGAATGGGATGTACTAAAATTATGAATATGTATTTGTATTTTGTGTATTCAATACTTGTATGGATAAAAAGACTCTGTAATCACCTGGAAGGTGCGGTGTGTATTTGGGAGCTATCCCGCACGCCGCCCGGCGTCATATAAACATACACTTTCTAACTTTAAACTGTTGGAGAGTTTTTGTCCGTCACAGTTGGATAGCGATACTAGATCAATATCCATAGTTTTTAAATAAATCAATACCAAACAGAGTCTTTAGGGTGGCTTTAGCTTCCATGTCAACAGCTAGGCAAAAATCATGTTTTCAGTAGCTGTCAGGAGCTTGTGGCTTCCACAGTCATGTTATGAGCAGATTTTCTGAAACATTCAGAAACCAGCTCTTCTGAAAAATCTACTAATTGCTTTGGGTGCTGGGAACAGCTTTGGTCTTCTAATGAGCTGCCCCCCTTACAGCCTTTTCTCAGCCGCAGGGAACAGCAGCTCAAAAGGCTCTGCCTTACTCTGCCATTTCTCTGCCATTATTCACTCACCCCTTCCCTCTCAAGCCTTTGGTGCCTGTGGTTTACTCCTGTCACAGCTCGTTCCTGTTCCAGCAGTAAGTGTGGACTTTTTTATTTTGTGCTTGACCAAGGTATTCCCTTCCTGCTAAATAAAGCCCTCTGGGCATGACTCCAGCACGAGGAATGTCTGTTTGCAAATTACCGTAGTGCTAGGAGACAATGATAGATGACCTCTCACAATATTGGGTGAGGTATTGATTAAAATCATTGATCCCATTTTTGAGTGACTGTTTCACCCAGGTAGACAAGTGAAATGAAAAATCTGTCAGTGTCTGCAAAAGTCTTTTTCAGAGATATCAGAAGATTTTTTTTTTCTTTTGGTAGACCTTTTGGGCTCAACAGGGTTAAAATAATTCATAATATTGTTCATATGTGTGTGGGGTTTTTTTGTTTATTTAGTTGCATTTTTAAAGAGCCCTCTTCTATGCAAATAACTTGTTTATTTGCTTGTTTGGGTTTTAGATAGACAAGAGATAACATCACTCAACCCTTTATTCGTGAGCAGCCCTCAGTGACAGGGCCACTGCTCTCCCAGGGAGGAAATCCTTTGCAGATGAGACAACAGGACCTTTGAGCATGTTTTCTAACGCTAGGTCTACACATTCCATACACAGTTTTCCTCTTTTGGAAGAAAGAGGAAACTGTTAAAAAACTGTTCTAGTTTTTTAATGTATGACCACCTAAAAGAACCAGTTATTACTTCTCTGTGTTATTTTACTGGCACATGATTAGTGGCTTGTCTTCTTGACATTAACAGACAATTAAGACTGGATCCCAAACAGTAAGTGATAAAAAACGTATCACCTTGTAAGTCAGCTGTTAATACTTTCAGACTCACAACCATAACATGTGCTGCTACCTGAAAATAAATGTTCCATAAAAATGGTTTTGCTTCTTTTTGAGCTGCACTGCACACATGCTCCGATAGTATTACAGCTGGTTAGGTGAAGTTATATAATGCCACTTTGTTTCTGAGGGAGCACATAGGCAAATTTCCACCAATGATATACAAATAGTCATCATCAGAAATTTGCCTATAAATAATGGATTTAGCATTCATGCATGCTAAAGTGGGGTAATGAAGATGCTGGCCTTGGCAGCTGAATTCCTGATGAAATGGAAAAAGAATTCTGTATTTCATTCCAGGATCTGCAAAAGGCAACCATGTCTCTGGTATCACCTAGGAGGGAGCTACACATCAGAATAGGTTGCTGGGGCAGTGCAACAAAGAGTTTAAATAGATATTTTCAGGCAGAGAACACAGCAGTTAATAAGTTGGCTGAGAAAGTATCACTTCTGCAAAAAAATGTGAATGTTGAGAAAATCTTTTCACACTGTAACCAAACAAAACAATCAATGTTGACTCTGTACAAAGGATTTCCTACATGAGAATTGCTCATTTGCCCAATAGCTCCATCTGCCAAAGGATAATTCTACTTTCCTTCTCATTCAGAGTGCTTTTGTGACACTTGATATACTGCTTATGAGACATGCTGTGCAGCAATTCCCCATTAACAAATCAAGAGATCACATTTCACTTTTTGTTGTCCCATAAACTTCAACACATTTAGTATGGTAAAAGAAAACCTTCTTTGTTAAGGTCAGCAACACCACAATCAGCCTTCAGAAGCCACTCCCCTTAGCCCTCCCAGAGAACACTGTGCCTCATTGCTCTCCTTGCCAATAACTCAGGCTGCAGATCATCGCTTAGGTTGTTTGAGGCAAACCTGTCCCATCCTTGTGTCCAGTCAGCATTCCCCTTTTAGCCTCATCCCTAGGCTTCTGAATATTCTTGATTAGTTGACAACAAATTAAAAAGGAAAACATTCTAAATACTGAAGCATGTGTCACTGGAGTCCTACTTTCTTTATAATACTCCATCTTTAGAATAAAACCAAGCACATCCCCCCACTGCAGACCCACAGTTTGAACATTCACATCTGGAAGTCAGCCATGAACAAGCACAGCCAGGTCCAATAGAAATGTTAGAATCTCTATTATCTCCTCTCCCCTGCTATTATCCCCTAATGCCTGACACAACAGAAGTGTGCAGCAAGTTAATAAAGTTTCTCTGGTTTAGTAAATGAAGAGTCAGAGTTTACTTGTCACCTAGTTAACAAAATGTTAAACAGGAATTTGGGACTCATGTTTCCCTGAAATCCCTGATTTTTAGTCTTGTTGATAAAAAGAGAGAAATGTGGCAGAAAGCATAGTTCAAGCTGAGCCTCCCCAGCTGGGACATGGGGTTCTCATCTCAGAGCTCTGGCTCCAGAACAAAGCCCAGACTCATCCATTCTGTCACCTGCAACGATTAAGCATTCATGCCAGCCCATGCAGCCTGGGAAGGTCATAAAAACCAAGCACGCTGTCAACCCATCCCCCTTGGGAGCAACTGCAGAGTTCCACTCACCTCTGCCAAAGAAGAAGGAAAGAGATTCCTTGCATAGGCATCTCCATGGTCAACAAACACATCTGGTCACCTCTCACATCACTGTTAGGAAAATATGCTGGCACCAAATGAAAGCAAAAGCCTTTCCTGATCAGACCATTAAAATCTGACAATTGTCTTGTGGTGGATGCCAGAGAGATTCTGAATATTTTGGCAGAAACAGCGGCTTTTTCTAGGTGGGAATCTGCCTACATAGTATTTATGCAAACATTTCCTCACTTGGTCTGTAACCACCCCTTCACAGTGAAGCAGTGCAGCGTTATCGCCAATTCTTTAGATAGTTGTGAGTTTAAAATACTACCACTGCCTAAAATAAAAGGAATTTCAATCACAGTGCTCCCTGAAATGAAAGAGGTGGATGCCAGTTCGACAATTTAAGCTGATAGCTGAGATACTGCCTCTCCAGCATTTTTGGCACCTGGCCTAGGGAGGAAGGAACGAGAACAAAGAACAAAGAGAAAGTAGGGATAAAGGAGAAGAAATGTGATCCAATTCATTTAATATAATGACAGAAATCCCTGGAGGGGACACTGATTTACATCTACAGGCACTTCAGAGCCAGTACTAATAACAGGTACACAGTTGTACAACTGATACAGCTGCTCAAAGAGAAAATATGACCAAAAGAATTATATCTAGCATAATAAAAACAATCAAGCCTCAGGTCAGAAATGTAATGGAAGGATACTAACTGCTGAGCCCAAAATTACTACCTTGGTGAGCAGCCAAGATAAAGAGTGAGTTGTAAGTTATCTGCAGGTAAGTCAGGAAATAGGTATTTCTGCATCCACACCTGAACTGAAAGCAGCAGTGTGTGAAAATTGATCAGCTATGCATGCAGGCATAACAAATATCTAGACAAAGATTTCTGAGCCCTCTGCAGGCACAAGATCAGGCATATAAGAGAACAGCATCAGCATATCAGCATCAGCAAAGAACCCTTTTTTTGGTCCAGGTACATATCCCTGAATTAGGCATGGGAGAGAACTGTTTTAAAAAGCCTCAAAGCATTATCTCAAACTGAAGCAGAGATATGTTCCCAGACTGAAGGAAGTATACTGCTGCAGGTAGGGGAGTGTGGGGGTTTTAAGGACTCAGAAAGTTACTAAGGCACAAAACTTGTAGGCACTGCTGGGCTGTCTAAGCAACATGTGAATACAGCTGAACCAAGGACATTGCAAAAGCTGAGGAACACGGAAGTAGATGAAAGCAAACACTTCAAATCAGCATTTAGCTCACGCATACATCCAATCTAGCAGAACATTACAGAAAATTTAGAATGCCAGGCAGTGTTACTGTTCACAACAAGGAGGTTTGCCTTAGCATACTGGATATTGCAAGCTCTCCCCTCAGTGCAAACAGCCTTATGTAATCAAATGCAAAACATTCCCAGGAAAGACCATATTAGTAAATGCATCCAGCAGCATGTCAGAAGCTGAGCAAAACATTTTGCCACAGAACCCAAACTGGCCAATATGAAAAACTACTAATAACTGGAAAACATGTAATTTAGTAAACTAAGTAAGAATTGCTTCTGGATTATACTGTTGAGACCAACATATTCAGGGCCAAGATGGCAAACAGGAATCATCCACAACAGCAGTGGTTCCAAATTTCTTACCCTCTGTTGACAGAGACTTCTCATTTCTAATATGCAAGAATTAAGACAAAATAGAAGACACTGAAATGCCTTTGCCCAAGCTGTAAAGATTGCCAAGTATTAGCTGTAGTCTGGTCTTTCTGTCCTTTAAACAAATAGCCACAGCTAATGCAGCAAGTGCCCTGGTATTCAGGGCTTTTTTCCATGACCATCTAATGATGTGCCCCTTCTGGAGTTGAAATGGCTCACAAGAAACTGGCCAATGAAAGAAAGGCTCATGTATAATCTCTAAGGAAAGATGTTTTGCTTGTCAACTACTATAAATGTCACTTATTCAGACAAGGTGTGCAATAACAGAGAGAGAATATCTTTCAAACCATTGGTTTTCTCTAGTAATGCCCAGGTTCCCTCCATAATATCAAACATGTTGCAGTTCCTGTGCAGGTGGTGTGTTTTCACTTGGTTGATAGGATCACCACAAGCATAAATGCTTGATTCTTCTGGAATGGCCATGGCAGTCTCTCTCTGCTCTTCATCCTCACATTGCTTGGGAACTAAAATCCTGGGCAATGTCTATTTATCAGGATTTAACCAGTAGTGCTGGTTAAAACAGAAATCTATACACATTACACACCATACACATCAATGCCATGGCAAAAACTGGTTCAAAATGTAAACCCAGTGAGAGCAAGCTGCCCACAGAAACATGTGATACTGCTTCAGGCCATGGTGCCTCTGCACACCAGAGCAAGCCATGCTGTTTGCAGTGACTTCCTGTTTTTAATTTGCCATTATTTGTCTTCTAGTAATTTCTCTACAACTCTTTTTAAGAAGAATTAATCGACCTGAACACCTTCCCTTGCTTTTTTTACAAATGCAGATCTTCACATTCAGTTAAAGCAACCTGCCTGTGCTCTGTGCAGAGACAGATGATAAATTCTGTATCGTTACCCTAATCTGAATCACTGTTGAACAGTGATTTAATATTTTAATGTAATCTTGTACACACCTACAATAAGCAAATGCATTTAGAAATAAAAATTGTTTCAAAGTGCCACCAACTGTTGTTTTTGCAAACTGCAGTTCAAAGAATGTATTTTTAAAATGCTTCTACTGGATGTTTTAACATTTCTGGTGTAGCACACAACTTAAAAGAACAAGTGCACATTATCCTTTCCCCAAGCTAGACAAGCAGTAAATCCCATTACAATATCTCCCCTATGGCTGGGTTTCAAAGGCAACATAATGCAGTATACCAAACACATCTCTCTGTTGTTTATAAAATTCTGTATTTTATATTTGTTTTAATGACAAGTCAATTTTCAAAACTTTCAAGAAACCTCCAAAATTATGTAAGAGAACCAAGCACTAGAAGCTTGCATTGCTTTTTAAATATGCCTATTATTAGTGATGTGTGAGTTCCTAATCATTGGGTGTGTGCTAAGAATAACATGCCCTAGTGGTCTTCTTTCATCTCCTCAAACTTCCAGTCTTCTCAAAATTTGCTTTCCGAAGTTCCCTCACCTCCTGAATTTTGCTTTCTCCTTATTCAAGCTGGACTTCTCACAATAAGAAACTCTTTTATGATCTGCTGACAATAAGCAAAGAAGCAGGATCATAAAGTTTACCAGGAAAGCAGAGTGGTACGAATCTCTTGGTGCCACAGACAGGGTAAGTAATCACAGAAGTTTGTCGTGAGAGAGTCCTCCAGGAGACCGAATGGTTACAGCTCCCAGTGAGCTGATCTCCATAAATAAATCAATTCTGTTTGCTTGCTGTAATTTTATGAAATGCATCAACCATTAAACAAATCAATGTGACCCCAAAGATTCCTTGGCTTAATATCTTATTATTTTTGGGCTATAGGCTAATTAGAAACTTAAACAATTTTCTGTAATAGCACCTGCATTATTTGAATATGCCAGATTGTGAACACAAATCTTTATATTTCTCCAGTGTTTTATATGCCAGCAATGATGATAATAAAATTAACAGCCTTCCCTTGCTTTTGCTGATACCATTTAGCTCTTTCCAGAGAGGTCAAAGTAGGCATTTTACTAGTTGGAAATGAAATGTGTTTGAGTTATTCAACTATTGACTGGTGGGAGCATTCATTTCAGTGAACAGTAAATTACTCCAATGCTCTCAGTCCAAATTGATCCAACAGAATGAGACCCCCTTTGAAGTCTGAACTCCTCCACAATTTTTCTTTCAAATGTGCAGCTCTGAACCCCTGTAGATGTAGTGGGTAATTGGTGCTGATTGATTTCTGAATGTGCAGATGTAAGAACAGGGAGAGGAATGACACAATGACATGAGAGGATGCAAAGTTCAAGAACACCCTGGGCATGTGCCAAGGAGACTTTTCCTAAAAGCAATAATATGACTGCAAAAAAGCCAATGAGGAAGAAAAAAAATCAAAGATATAGCTAAAAGGTGAAACAAGGAGATTGTAGCCAGGAGGAAACTGTTGGTGAGATGGCTAGAGGAAGGAGGAATTTTTAGCAAAACAGCACATGTTTAAATGGAGATGAAGCACAGTGCAGAATTGTAGAAGTTCCTAACCATATAGAAAAAATCTGCTCAATTTGCTGTTCTGAGAAGGACTCCAAAGCAGACCATATTGACAAAACAGTAGACATCTGAATCAGTGTCAGTTCTTTTTTCTTAATAAAGGTTTTTAAAAAAACAAATTAAGAAAAGCAACAATTTTCGTCACATGAGGAATTTGAGTTCTTTAGGTTAGTTCAAACATTTGAAATATTTTCTGACTGCTTTGAATTATTAGAAATATCCAGGTTCTCAAAGCCATCAGTCACCACAGTAAGAAATGCCTTTATTTCCATTCACTGTTTTACAAGTAACTGAGTTATTATCAGCTACGTAAATCTCAAGTGTGGTACACTATAACTTCCTACTTTTGCCTGGTCTTACAGGCATAGTTCTGACTCTGATAACCACTGCCATATGAAAGTATTACATTAAATAAAAATAAGGCTGGAATTTGCAACTTGCATTCCAAAAGTGATTGAGAACAGAATCTCAGAATGACAATTGCCAAACAGAACAAAATCTTGAGAATTTGCAGGGTAAAATATCATGGTCCCACACTATTGAGGTTTTGCAGTTTTGTTTTCCTTTCTAGTTTAGTTCTAAGAAAACCCAATTATGATTCATTAAATGACACTTCTGGTATCAATTTAGGTGACAACAAACAAAGCTTATATGGTTTTCCTTAATGAGGAATAAATCTGAATTTTATAGGGCTGCAGCCAGAGCCTACTGCCGCTATTCAACATTGCTTTATAAGAAATACATCTTTTCAATTTCCCTTGTTTCCTGATCAATTGCTTTGGCATCCTTTTCCCACTTCAAAATGAATACGTCTCACCATTTATTAACACAATGTTGAATAGCAGTGCTTCCTTTTGTAACAAGTCAGCATTACTGTAGTGTGCAATGTGGGTTGAGTCTCATTTACATTAGGACGCTTTATACCATTCCAACAAGAGAGACATCTTTATAGGGAAAACCTAATGTCTGCCACAGATACTTAGTTGCAGAGGCAACCAGACTGAGGCAGTCTCCCTGGTTTTGCTGCTGCAGCAGAGACTCAGACGTGCAGCCCCAAGCCCTGTGTCCTGCCCCAGCACAGACAGTGACAGCACTCACCAGCACACAC